GATTTCCATGCTTTTGGATACTTTTTTTTGTTTTGCTTTGTCTTTTGGTTTTAGTCTCCTAGAATATTTGAGAAACTTCTCTTTAAATGAGCAAAATGCCTGTAGAGGAAGTGGCTGTACCAAAGAAGGAATGCTACCTTAGTTGCTGAGTACAGCTGAAAAACTGAAATAGCTAGGCATACAACTGGCAGTAAAATTACATTGGTAAGCAGGATTATCCATATATCTACTAGGAAAATAAAGTACATGACATCACACTCAGCTGAAATCCGTTTCCATCTGTGGGAACTGGCTTTGTTTTTGTCTGCTACATTAGTGCAGTGTGCTGATATCCAGTGTGAAGTACAAACTGCACTTTTAAAAATAACACTGAAGCTTTTAAATTTGAAAAGCCCTGGACTAATTAGGCGCATACTTGCAGTGCGTTCTACACTTAGCGTAGAAATACCAGAGGAGGGATGCTCTTATAATGCATAGCAGTAGGTGTTGCTAACAACTTTGAGATTTTTGGGGGTATCGATGCAAACGGGGAAACTGCTAGAAAATGCTCGGCTGTTGTAGCTAGCTGTGTCAATGACACGGATTGTGCCCAGGCTCCCTGCTGCCTCTGTTCTTTGTGTTTCTGCTTCGGTCAGCTGCAGCGATCTCTCTTTTGCCTGTATACTAATCCATCATGTATAGATTGAGGGTAAAAGTGACTTTGCTGACCTTCAGCTATGCTCGCTGGGGACAAGTTGGCTTCTCTGCTGTTAAATTGCCTGGTAGCTTTAACTAAGATTAGGTGACTTTGCCGGTGTGAAGGAGGTAGTGATGCCAGAGTTGGCGGTAGTATCATGCCACGCTTAAAATGTCAGCTCTGGCTGTAAGGAGATAAAAACTTCAGTTACTGGTTCCTATTATTACTAGCTAAATGTGCCAATGTTTTTCATTTTAGTCCTCTCCACCCACTTCTAGTGAAGAAGCGGCAGTTTTTCTAACACTTCTGTGTTACAGCAGTATTGTACGCTAATAAGTAATGCTATGTGGTGGTGTTAAGTTTCTTGGTCTTTGGTTTTAAAAGTGATTTCTAGAGGAATTCTTTAAAAGAAAAAAGAAAAGAGGGTGCTAAAATAGGAGTTTTTCTGACTCCTGATTTGGGCAGTATTGAATAACGTAAAGGTTTGCTACTTGGAGAAAACTAGCTACCTTTACGGTGTTAGTCTTGTGCTAGTGTTCTCATTTAACTTGAGGTCATCTTTAGCTTAGTTTTATGATCTTCTTACTGTTACTGTAATAAGCTTTCTGCTTGAAGATCAATTGTTTCCAAAGCAGTGCTCTCAAAATTCTGTTCTGTCCCAATTCTTGTTTCTACTTGATTTTAGAGGATGACACATTCAGAGGATAAATTGCTGTTTAAATTTAAAAATGTGGATTTTTTTTAAATAGAAGTGTGCTACTTCACTGTAAAGTGAGTGGAAAAGTATAGACCAAAGATCTGTGAAGTGGAAGATTCAAACTGTTTCTCTTTCATGTGCTTCATAGCAAGAAACTTACATGTACACGGTACTAGTAGCTGTATTTAAATAACTTCAGGCAGTTTTTTGAGAATTTGGGAGAGGTACATAGATGATCAGTAACTGCTGACATGTAATTATGCAGCTGTCTGACTGTTGGTAGTGTTTATGATGTTCAGGAACCTCTTTTTGTATCTTTTCTTTGAACAAAAAAAATCTCTGCCCATATAAAGTCTGTGTTATGTTACTAGGATTAACAAGGTTTTCCTTATCTCTGATACTTAATGGTTATAATTTCAGCCAGCAGAACAAGGAAAGGTGAGAGCCATTAGAGCTGATGGGTTACTGAACAGGGTATTCCACAGGGACAAAAACAGAGGAAGAGCTGTTGTCTACAGAATTTCATCAAAATGAAAGGTGTTTGGTGTCGTATTGCCTCTGTTTCCACATACTCTGTTATTTGGGTGAAATGAGGTTTTTAACTTGTGTTGTCAGGCTTTTCTCCTAGTTGGGAATAAAACCATTCAGGGTTTTTTGACTGTTGCTGTTCTTGGCCTTAGGATGAAAGGTCTTTGGATTGAAGTAGAGCTGTATTTGGATAGGCTTCTACAGATTAGCATGCTGAACTGGAATTCAAGGAGTCTGGACTCTCTCAAAAGGCATTTCAGCATCTGAAACATGTAGGTAAGCTCTGCTGCGGTGGAGTAGCAGCTTGCCTATACATATTAAAGAGCTTCAGGATCCATCTCCTGTGAACTCAAGTTTAGCATGAGTTGTGAAATTCTGAGCATCCAGACCCAGGTTTTAAACTGCCACAGTGGTACACCAGTTATGCTTTTTCATATCAATATTGTTTTAAGTGATCTGCAGTGCACCATCCTTTCCTGCTACAGAGGAGTCTGAAGTGCCCTTCAGTTCCTCTGCTGCTATCAGCCATTAACAACTTTGTTGTATGGGTAAGGGCCCAATGCATGCAAAAATTGTAAATGTGCCCCAGCAGATGTGTTCAGATCTAGTTTTGTGTTGTGGAAGTGAATGCATCCTAGAGAAGAGCTACACATGATCAACAAGCTTTCACTCTTACTTATAATCAGGTAGTAATTATTTTTATTTTCCTAAATTCAATTAAAACAAATTATTTTCCTTAGAGCCTTCTTTGTACTTTAAAGGTAAGAAAATATATGGTTCAGTGTTTGAGGGTTTTTCTTAAGTTGAGTGTTAGAATTTTTCAAATAAATGATAAGGAAAACATTAGGAAAATAAATAGATATTGCACATTCAGGAGAGGGTGGAGATGTAGATGAGACTTGTACATTTGACTGTGTCCGCCTTTTGGGCTTCTTAGTGCAAGCAAGATGTTAGCTTATTTGAGAAAGCTCAGTGGAGGCCACCAAGATGGTCACAGCACATGGCTTCTGAGGAGAGTCTGAATGAACTGGGCTCGTTCAGCCACACGAGAGAAGGCTTTGCAGGGACTTCTTAGCAATCTTACGTACCTTTTTGGAGGTTACAAGAGCCAGGTCCGTTCTCTTGCTGTGCTATTCCCTCAAGACAGGTAATGGTTATAAAATTCTGGTTCTGACTGGACATAACTAAAACTTTGCACTATGAGGCTTATTAAGCATTGGAACATGTCACCCAGAGAAGATGGGGAATCTCTTTGGAAGTCTCCAAAATGTGACTGGCTGAAGCCTTAAGTAGCTTGGTCCAAATCTGATGACGACCTTGGTTTGAGCCGGAGGTTAGACTAGATTACTTCACAAGACCCTTTCAAACATGAAAGGTTCAGCAATTATGCTTCCATAATTTCATTCCCCACTTCACTGGTGGCACTTATAGCTTAACATTAGTACCTCTGCCAGTATCCCCTTGCCTCTGTAACAGACTTCCTTGCACAGGTAACGGTGTGCTTGTCTTGCAGTAAAGATGGAGAAACCCTCTCTCTGTGATCTCTGTGATGTTGAAGAAAGTATCTCACCTTTGTTAACAATTCCATATTTTCTTTCACTTATGTACTGTATTTTAACTGTTGGGAGATTACTTTAGTACTCTAAATTCACTTCCTACCAAGCAGAAGACCTGCCTACATATTAGTGTGGTGCTTGGAAGATGGTGTATATCAGAAACTGAATTCCAACTTAGATTGATGTCTTGTATACTGGGAAAGTCCTGTGGTAGATTTTGCATATAATGTCTTGTAGAAGATGAAGGCTCTTGGAGTAGTTGCTTAAAAAAGAGAAAAAAGGAAATTGGGCTACAAGTTCTTAGAATTCTTTCCTGGGTCTAACAGTGAAGTAAAGCTTAGTAGCATCACGCAGTCTTTTGCAGTGGCTCTGTAGGTAGAACCACTTATTAAAAGCTACCTGACACAACTATAAAACCTTGATGTTTAGTTGATGGTTGAAGTTTACCAAAGCAAATAATTTGAGCTGAAATCTTACCTGTCAGATCTGTTCCAGGTGGACTCTTATTAAAAAAACCCCATGTGATGCATCTTCCTTGGCCTAACTGTGAGAAGTTAAATTACTTAAGAGTTCTGAATTTTCTTGGAAGATCTCTGGATATCCCTAGAAGTGTAAATTTCTCCCACATAACCATCCTAAGCAAGTTGTAAGTGATGCTGCAGAGATGTAGCCAGAGTTCTGTAATTGCTGCTTTAGGCCAGCTGCAACTAAGGGCAGACAACTGCTTAACTTTACAAAGTATACCAAGCTGGTGAAATAAAAGTGTGGAGCTCTTGCATTTGTCAAGGAGATGGCGACTACTGCTGTTAAATTTCTCATGAAGAACTGTTCCACTAGTCTGTGGCCAAGACTTTTACTAGAAAACACTGTGTTGTAACAAAGTTGTGTTAGAGCAGGTCTTTTTTTCTGATCCTCCTTTCAGCATGGATTGCTTGGCATGTTGTCACCCTGAATTGTGATGATACACCTTACTTGTGATGAATTTTAGCAGAAATTGTCTCTCTAAGCAAAACTGGATTAATTCCCACTTCATTTCCATGTGTTACTTGTTGCAGTGTTTTAGCAAAAGGAGATGAAATTATGTAACTTGTCGTCTTGTCTTAAAACTGCTTTTGACGAATCTTCCAGTAAACTGATAAAAGTGGATGATTCTGATTACCTACCAATAGTTGTTAGAGGCTCGTTAGGTGTGATAGCACTACCAACACGGAAACAGTCTTTTGGTATGGACAGACTGCAGGGCTGGTTTTACTGGTGGCTGAACCAGAAGAGCTGCTAGTTTTACATTATCTCTTAGAGGTGGCCTTACAAAACTGTTTGTTGTCTTCAGGGCATACAGCATTTTCTGTTTGTGTTGCTCTACTTTTGTGTATTGCTAAACTTCTTCCAAGTAACCTATAACATTGTGGATTTTTTTTTTTTAAACTAGAGAGCAGGATTTTTTTATTAAGTTGGCTGCATTGCTCTAATGATGTGTTGTCACTGTTTTGTCATATACAGTATAACAGATTCTGAAAGCTCTTTTTATTTTCCAATAGGCTGGTGTTTGGGATGCTGTATCCTGCATATTACTCATACAAAGCTGTGAAGACAAAAAATGTGAAGGAATATGTAAGTCACGTTCCTTTTAATGGCTTAATTAAATGCCTCTGCTGACATACAACTGTGAAATTTTCATTATGCAGTGCAATAAATCATATGAAAGCTTGATATGACTATTTTAGTATTGGATACAACACCTGTGTGAATCTAGTGGTAATCCTGTGATTTTGTTTGCAGAGCTAAAGTTAAGGTTTCTCAGACTTTTCATAGATGTTGCTGAAATGTGTCCAATACTGTGCTGTATATGGACATTTTTAGGAGGCTTTTTAACCATAAACCTTAGTGTTGGCTGCATTTCAGCAGAGTGCCCAAAATAATGCCCTTTTGGGCAGTGGCAGAATTAGGAAACCTTTTTTCTGCCCAACACCTATAGTATTAAGCAATGACAAATTGATTTTCAGTGACTACTTGAACAGTAGCAGCAGTTTAATTGTCATTGTATGGAGATCAATAGGGGATTCAAAATCTACCTGAGAAAAGAGTAGCTTTGGTTAATCTGTTGTTCGACAAAGAGGAGGAAAAAATGTAACCAGGGAAGGAAAAGATTTGTTTAAGGTAATGTGGAGGAAAGAAGTAGAACAGACAGAAGAGCAAGATGGAGAAAAACACAATTACTGTAGTTACTGCAGTTTAGAATTAATCTGTTAAATTATTTACTTTTTCCAGCGTGAGCAATGATGATTACCACAAGAATGTTACCCAGCTGCAGTCATGAGGAGCCTGGGTCACTGAGTTACTTCCCTGTTTTAAGAGGCAGCCTAACTTGATTTCCACAACTAACCTATATTCTCTCCTGAACCTTGTTCTTAACTTGGCTCTGACTCCGTCCTGAGTCAGGCAGCCATCAGTTACTTTAACTCGGCAGCCATAGCTGTGACCTAATGCTGCTGTCTGGATGGATATGTGATGTCTCTGCTTTGTACTTGGTTGTAGTAGTAGAATACAGTAGCTGTTGTTCCTCCCTTTGTATGTCTTAAATTTAGTCTGATCGCTCCATCAAGGCTCCAAAGTGGACATGATATTCATACTTCTTTTGGTTTCTGTGTACAAGCTGATTAGAGCTTATTTGTGCATATAGAGCTAGTGCCTGCCAGAGCTAAGCTTCTGGAAAATAAAAATAATGAAAAATAAGAAAAGAATTTCCTCTGTCTCATGCCTACTTTACCCTGTCAGGAAAGTATATAATGCAAAGAATCTGTAATCTGCTTTTCTTCCCTGCTCCTTCAAAAGGGATCCTCAGGCTAAGTAGAGGATAGCAGTTAAAAATTTTATTAAAAGTAATCACTTAAGAGGTTACTATTGCCTCTTGCAATATGCTTTCTAGAAAGAAAAGCTATGTTTATAAAACGCTGAGATTTTTACTCATCTCAATTGTCTAGTTAGTTATGATGTAGCTGTCTTTCTTGGGCATCCTTTTTTAGAGATGCCTGGCATTTACACAAGACCTTTAGTAGGGCCTGGAACCATATTTTTCCAACTGTGTACTTTCATTTAGTGTGAAAACACTGCTTTTCAGTCACCTGTGGTCTTTGAGCAGCCCCCGAACTTGCAGTTGCATACAAAATGGTCATGGGACTGATGTGAATGAGAGCCATCACAGTGACTTTTTCATGGGCAGGGAATGACACAGATTCATCAGTGAATTACTGCTCTGTTTCTGGTTGGGTTGAGTGTCCAGATAGATCTGTGGCTTTCATCTTCCCAGCTGGGTCATTTTCTTTCACAGAGAGGGTGCAGGCTTCCAAATGGCACAGCTCTGCTGCCTGTCATGTTACGGCCTGAGCACAACTTCCTTTCCAGGGTTCTGTGTGGCTCAGGAGCCATCTGTTTTTGTTTGCTCGATGGCAAGAGGTTTGTAACAGTGAAATTTTTTACTTATCCACTGCTTCCTCCAGTAAAAAACCAGTAAAACAAAGAAACAAAAAGTACAGACTTCTTGACTTTCTGTGTAGGTCATGATGCAGCAAATTGTTCAAAGAATATTTCTTGCGGGGGGGAAGTGGTGCTGTTGGTTTTAGTAATTTAAAAGACTTACGGACTTTAGTTCTAGAGTTTAGGATCTGTGCCTGTGAGGAGATTTATTTGTTTTGGTAATTACTCTGGTTTAATGGAGTTGACTAAGATCTTTGAGGAGATTTTTCATTGTGATACACCCAAGTGCTTGTAATAAGTGTCTGAAATGTAGTTTAGAAGTCTGAATGACGAGTCTTCTCAAATCCTGGCTTCAAAATCCTGACTGGAAAGGATGCGTTTCAGCCAAAGCCAACAAAGATGAGCTTAACACTTGGATGGCAGAAAAAAGCTCAACAAAACAAATCTGTAACTCTTTTAACATAAAAAGCAAAACTCAGTCAAAGCTTCTGTAACTTGATCTTTAAGAGTTAAGTAGAAGATAGTCTTCTGGGCAGTGTCAAATATGATCTTCTGATTTTCCTGTTTTTTTTTTTCTGGTATGAAAACCCCTGTAAGCCACTCGGGTTCATTTGTCAAGGATACTTTTGGTACCTAATACATTAGTTGTACTAGAATATGATTTGACTAGCGTTTTTGAGAATCTTTGCCCAGACCTCAGCAGGACTCCCGACAGATCTTGTGCCTTTCTGCAGAGTGTTTTTTACTGTTCCTAGCAGCCCAAGAGAAATTCCACTTCTACTGTTGTTCCTAATTGGATAAATAGATGTTGATTAAAGACTTAATAGCCTGGATAAAATATATAGGAAAAAAATTGTCTGGCATGGCATCTTAAAAATTGCCTCATGCTTAGGTTGATGGGGCAAAGGTGGATGTTAATTTTATTTTTATTCAGGTGTTGACTCTGGTTCATGGAAGGGTCACCAGTATAAATGTCACGTGGCCTGTCAGAGATGACTTCAGCTGTTATGTAGGTTTGTCTTAGTTTATTCAAGCCTGAAATATCTAAATCCTCTGAGAGATTGAAGTGAAAAATGTCATCACATGACTGAGTTTCTTTTCAAGTTGAAATGCAGAAAAGCATTTAAGATAAATGGGTCTCAAGTTGTGACAAAGGAAGTGGTTTATGAAGCAAAATGCACTGCTATGAAATAGACAGCAGTGTAGCATTAGGTTTTGAGTACTGGTTTAAGTCCACTTCAAAAAAAGATTGCTTTAAAAGCCATATCCCCTGTAGGAAAGTATATATTCCTCCTTTTGAAAGAGTAATGTGAATTTAGGACTCAAACTAGTGTCTAACAAATGCAGTGTTTAATGCTTTGTGGGTGTACCAGAAGAGTTAGTAGTCTGTATATCATAAATTAAATGAGGTTACTGCATCTGGTTGCAAGTGATACTTTTTTTTTTTAAACTGTTTTGTGGTTTTTTTTCTAGTGTAGTGTTGGAATTTAAAGAACACATGAGTGTTTGATTAGTATGAATAACCAGTGGTGGTTTGTACTGACCTATTTTGGAAATACATTGCATTTGGTTACTGGTGTCTTAGAGAAGACAAATGCATAGAACTACTTCTGTATTATTTATTCTGAAAGATTGTAATCAGTTTAGACAACCAAATTTGAACAAAAGCTCAAGAAAAATGAGTGATTTAGTTACCTATTATAAAACAGGATTAAAAGCTGTATTTTAAGAGCAGTGTCTGATTTCAAAACAATGAAGTATAGTGTAAATCTTGAAAACAAAAAAAAAAGTATATGGATGTAAACCCCTGAAGCATTAAGATGCTTACATGGAAGCTCTTTTATTAACAAGAATTTTGTGGTTCTTGGCATATGTATAGAATAAAATTTCCATGAAAAAGCTTTTTTCTTGGCTTGCCACGGTGTTAATACCATAATGCTAAGCACACATGTAGAACTTAACTGCAAAGCATAGCTGAATAATGTATATTGTGAAATGAAAGCAAGGACTACCTGACTTACTAATGCTGACTTTTGCGTGTGTGGTATAAGCATACGGCTGAGTGTTGATGAGGGTGAAATATCCTTTAGTGCTATAGTGGGAATTGCAGTTCATGCTTGTGATAATTTACTGACACCTTAGCAGTGTGTTTTCTTATCAGTAGAGTTTTCTATAGGCAGAACCAAATCTGTGAAGTCAGCCTAGGTGAGGTTGTGACCCTGGTGACCCAGCCATTTCACTTAGCTTGTTGCAGCTGCCACCAGCTCTACTTACGAAGAGGAAACCCTTAGGACCTTCATGTACTTTTGCTTGAAACCCGGTTGATGCAACACTGAGATGCTATTGAATGTCTTGCTTTGACAGCTCTGAACTGACTGTACAGTGTATAGTGTATTCTGTGTAAAGGTGAAATCAAAAATCCTACTGAAGATGGTGTTTTAATTTTCAGGTTCGCTGGATGATGTATTGGATTGTCTTTGCTCTTTATACAGTTATGGAAACAATAACTGACCTAACGGTCTCTTGGTAAGAGCCTGCTTTTTATGTATTCTGGATGAAACTTATATTTGTTTCTGATGTTCTTTGATTTGTAATGATTTAATTTTGGTAAAGAAGTTGTGCTTGTTGATGGCCCTTTTTTCAGGGAAAGATCCCTGTGTGTGTGAAGAATAACATGTTTTTCAAGCTTGCTGTACACTGTCACTCGAAGTAGGGACTATGAATCTTCTACCTTTGCGGAAACTGAACAGGGGAAATGAACTCTTAAAAGGATGAACTGTAGTTTCTCGAGCAGGAATGTATAATGCAAAGCAAGTATATTAACTGTTCCTATTTCTTAAGTGGCAGTACAATCAATTAAAAAGATGAACCTATAGAACTAGAACTTGAGTAATTTTTGTCTAATGTAATTTCTTGTATGTGAAGAATCTTACATGCTAATATGTAATTTTGTTTTTTGAAGAGATCTCTTAATGGTGATCTTAATTACTGTGCATTTTCTAATTGTAGTTGTTGATTTCATGCAATCTTTAACTTGTCTGTAGGTTTCCACTGTACTATGAACTGAAGATAGCTTTTGTTATTTGGCTCCTTTCCCCATACACTAGAGGGGCAAGCTTAATCTACAGAAAATTTCTCCATCCTCTTCTTTCTTCCAAAGAAAGGGTAAGAAATAACTTCCCATATTTTTAATGCCTAATATGGAAATACCATATGCTGAAATACTAGCTGTTGCTAGATACGTGATAAAAGCAGATCAGTGTGTTACTGGTTTGCCAGGCAGCATGAACTTGGACTAGCAGAGGCAAGTGCATATGACTGTCCATATATATGCTTCTGTTTAACTTGCATGAGCAGACAATGTACTACTCTCTATTGACATGAGATAGTTCAGTGTTCTCTGGTCTACTTAGTGCACTTTGGGGAGCCCAGTCAAGTGGAAGTGATGCAGTTTGACTTACTACAGAAAGAACATGTGCAGTACTCTGTGCAGAAGCATGAATGCAGTTTTAGCAACAGCTCATCATGTTACCAGTTTTTCTAGCATAACCTAGTAATAAAACTTCACAGGACGAATGACATTGACTTTTCTGGCATGCAGACTGACAGAATAAGAGGAGAGACTTTCTACTGAGGTTTAAGGGAAGACTAGTCTGCAACAGAAAATACCCAAGCAGAAAATAGTTAAAAGATATTTAGCTTTATCAAAAGTATGACAGGCCCACAGATCTGCTTAGCTCTTTTTCAGTATCCTGTTTGGATGTGTGAAAAGACCAAGTAGCAAAGGTGTGAAGACTACCACTGAAAAACCTCACAGTACAGAAAATAGCATTCATAAAGGTCAGAGATGGGCTTGGCCTTTATTAGGCAGAACAGATAGCTGACACGATTGCCACTGATGTGAACAGTAAGGTCATCTTGACCTTCTGAAGGTTGAACTATAAACTGTTTGCAACTTCATAAGCTAAAGGGATTTTTCCCTGTTGTCTTCTAGCTGTTGTGAACTACCTTGAAGCCTTGATCTTGGACTCCAGGCATTTACCACAGTTGGGGATAAATGTCATGTCATGACTGTATTGTCCTTGGTATTTAACTATGTAAAAGCTCTGGCTTCAGAAGTTCTTCGTGAGCTGACTCTACCTTTCTAAGGAGCTCTCTGATTTCATCTTAAAAGTTGTTCAAGAAATAACATATTTATCTGACAAGTTAAGCTTACTCTGTAAGGAACTTGCTATGTAGCTGCAATGTTTCTGAGCTGGACAAAAGTGATCTGTTTTATCTTGTTGTTTGACCAGACATAATCCTTTTTTACACGAGAGAGTAGGAGTGAATGAAACATCAGTATACAAAGGCAAGAGTAATTGCCCCATGAAATATTTTCTTAAAGATTTCTTTTGTCTTCCTTTATTGATGGACGAATAATACTGTGGGATAATGTAACTCTCTTATGCATAGCTCTCTAAAATTTATTTTGCTTTTAGGAGATTGATGAGTACATTGTACAAGCCAAAGAAAGAGGCTATGAGACCATGGTGAATTTTGGAAGGCAAGGGTTGAATTTGGCAGCAACTGCTGCAGTGACAGCAGCTGTAAAGGTAACTTTCTGCTTGCATTAATTGCTTTTGTCCTTGATATAGAACAGTGTAATTGTACTTGAGGATTTGTCATTCCTAAACAAAAAGATTAATTGTGCAAATGTATTGAAAACCTGGAACACAATTTAAGGGTTTCAGCCATAGGCATACTGTGTTTGTTTGTTTAAAATGGCTTGTAGTTATTTCTTGGATGATGGGGATCAGTTTACTGTAATTCAAAAGATACCATGCAGTTTCCTATGCAGGCTTTTGATAGAGATGACCATTGTTTCTTTTCTGTCTCTGTTGTGCTTTCTTATTGGTAAACAAACTATTTAAAGGATTTCTGGCTTTTCCGCTGTTTCTCTCCAATCAACTTGAGGTAACTCCGTATATGAAGTAAGGCATGAAAGATTGCTACCACAGATAAAAGTTCTCTTGACACAATTAACTTGTTTGCAACTTCTTGATTGAATTATTAAATTAATACACTAAGCATAAGCTTGCATATCGCTGCTTAGCATACTTTTGCCTTGTCATGTAATTTCCATTAAATCATGAAGTAACCTGTGATTGTTCCTGAATCATGGTCCTATAAAACTTGTGACCTTCAGTTGAGTTTCAGAGGGTTCTAGGTCTAGGAAAACAAAATACAAACTTGTAAGTAAGATTCTAAGCAACTTGTGGCCCACCAAAAGGAGTATAACTTCAGGCAATGTTTATCCTATCCAATATCCGTTTAAACCAAAACACAAAAATACCCATGGGAAAGATAGACATGTATGTCCCAGTTAAATTTAAACCAGAGGGTTTTAAGGCAATCAGGATTAATTTCTTCCTGGGAATAAATGAAACCGTTGTGTTTATGGTAACAGGACTGAAAACCTGAACGCTGGTAGTAGATAACACAAAGCAATGTAGAGATCTTTCACTGTCAAAGTTAAGTAGGTTCAACTAGCATTTAACTTAAATTTCTGTGGTTGTATAAGAACTTCTTGCTCTATAAATCAAAGGCATTTCTAAAAACTACATTTTCAAATGCTATCTCAAAACGGTTTGGAAAAATAGTGATGCATATCTTGTTTGTTCATTTTCTCCCTTTTTAAAGGTATATGTGGGTGGTAGCGCAAAAAAAAAAAACCAAAACTTTTTGTTTTAAAATATGAACATAATCAGCCTAAAACACTGAGGATGTGATTCAATTTGATCACTGGTTCTTTTCTTGCTATTCAAATTCCTACTATTGCCTTGAGATGTGAAATAACTTAGAATGAAATAGAGTACACCTTTAAAGGAATGAAAGTATCTGTAGTGAACATAGTTTATTTAAAAAAACCCAAACTAACCCAACAAACAAAATGTCGAAGTACTCTACTGGGAAGAAGTTTAAGGACTATGCTAAATGCCAAAATGCAAATTCATTGCCAAACAGCAAATCATAATCTATTACAATGTGCACCTGTAATGATACTTATGCTATGTGTGTTTTACTTATGTCTGGCTGTCTGGCTAAGGTTGGATATTTCCCTGTTAATCCTTATGGTGTTACAGAAATATTGTGAAATAAATAACACAAATATCTCCTCCCACTTTCTTCTGAAATAATGAATAACTTTTTCCTAATGGTCTGTGTTTAGATTTCATTGCTATTCAGCTGTGACTGGCAAGATGCCTGCTCTATTTGTTAAAACTTGTTAAACATGCTCATGAATATTTGTACAGAATTAGTTCAGTGCAGATGAGATGCCTGGGCAAAAGAACCACCATAATACCGAAGACCTAAAATAGACATGATTTTTAAACAGTATGAAAGAGGAGACTCTCTGAAAATCTTTATTTTGGCATGTTAAACCTCTCTTCAGTTTGTCATTCCAAAAAGCTGAGCGTGACTGCTCCATGCAAGCAAATGGAGACAATGCATGTGTTCTTGATTTTGTTCCCTCGTTTTCGAGAGTTGACTGCTGCCTCCAGCAGGTGAAAAGATTATCCCTTCAGCATGAGCTGGTGGAGCATGCTATAGGATTTCAGGAATGGAATCCTATTAGTGGGATCAGTTTTGATGGGAAGGAGACACACTTTCATAATTTTTTTTAAGGAGAATCTCAAATTAGGAGTAGAGAATGTGGGAGGTTAAACACAAGAGGAGGTCCACAGAAAGCTTCTGTTCATTAAAGTGTCCAAGCAAAAGACACTACGATGTCTGCTTATGCTGACTTCAGGAGGGTGGTAAAATCGCTTGGAAACTCTCTGGACTATTTTCAAGATCAAGTGTGGGAAAGAGCGTTTTCTCCAAGGGCTGTCAAAGGAACAGGGGATTAGTATTAAAAGGCTGGTTGTCTGTGTAGGGGAGGCTGGAGCAGCCAGCCAGGTCAGTCCACTGAAATTTGACATAAATTTAAACCTGCTCCACTGTAGTTAAGTTGAAATGTAACTGACAGGAGTCATGGCTTATGGCTTACATTTCTATACTGATACTTTTATCTGGTACTAGTTAGCCGCTGTTCATATAAAATGTAGGGTGTAAAAACCTGCTAAACAGCATATGTTAGGAAAATAAATTGTATTACTTGACAGGAAACACGTTTTTGTAAAATCTTCATTTCAGGATACTTAGAGATGAAATATGGTCTAGGCTGACTTTTACAGTCTACTAATAAAAATTTTCTTCAGCGTATAAAAATCAGCAACAAGACTCCTCTAATGACAGGAAAGTTGTTGGAGTTCTTTCAGCTTAATGCTATATGGATTTGTGGAAATGATATCCATGGCCCTAAGTTGTACCGATATATCTTGTATTTTGATGCATCTGCTTTCCAAATCCTCTGAGATGTCGGTTACCTGTACATTCCATAAATTTTCACTTCTCAAGCTACGGGTGAAAACTGGTTTCCGTATCACTGTGTGCAGGACGGCTGCTAATTAAGCTGTGAAATGCACTGTCCTTCGAGGTCACACAAACATTGTTCATTTGTAAAGTATTGTTTGGTAAAAATAACAAGAATAATATAGTATTTTGAGCGCTGTGTTTCTAGATGTCTTTTAGTCATCCTGAATCTGCTGCCTCTGCTGGCTGAATATTATTCCAATGGCCTTGCTCAGACTTCCCCTTCGTCCCACTCGGGGCATGGCAGAGGAAGGAGGTCTCTTGCAGCCAGCTGTGGCATACAGCCAGTATCGCTATGAGCAGCTCCACTCACCAGCGATATTGCTTTCATCCCTTCTCCCTGCTGGGACCGCCTGGCGTGCTGCAGAGGTCATTCACGGGACAGCAGTCCCTCTCCAGGTTGAGAGGGAACAGAAGTCGTTCCCTGTCGGCCCGGATCGGATCAGGGAGAGAACAGCTGGGAATGCGGGTGCTGCACACTGCGGCTCTTTGCCACAGAGCTCCGGGCAGCTCTGTGGATGTGGAGTCCATTGAGAACTTGTCCAGTGAAGGCAAGCAGCTTTATTCGGTGATCCTGACCATTGAGGGAGTGCAAGTCCAGTTTAAACAACAAAAGGAAGAGTCCTTGAGGCAGACATAGTGTGTAGTGTCTGTTTACAGCAACTTCACTGGGTTAAGTATATAGAGTATAAAAATACATGCTCAATAACAAAATAGACAACGGCATTTTGTGCATGAGGGTTGGCTGATGAGACAGCATACTAATAGCTCGCTAGAGTCCGCGTAGTCTCAAAAGGAGTCCCTTAAGTAGGTTATATTTATCAAACTGGATTTAGAAACCTATTACAACTGTAGTGTTTCAGATTAGTCACTGGTAATGAATGTGGTCTCTGAAAAGAGTTAAATATGTTTTAGGGAATACCACTGAATAAATGAACAAACTCATTCTTTTAGACTTGCGTTTTGTTTAAAACACTAAGTTCATAGTTCATCTCTAACGTTCACTTACATAGAACACTTACATAGAAATTTGTGCACTGAAGTTGTTCTGTGCTTTTTTGCCTGCGTTGTAATTGTAAATGTGCATCCCGGTCTTTTGTGGTGTCATTCAGTTGGCAGCCTCTGGGCTGGGTGCAGCCTGCTGTATTTCTTCCTTACTGGTAGGAACTGTTGAAATGGTGGGACACCAGTGCAGGCGCGGCAACTGCTCTGCCATCTTGTAAGCAGCATCTTGGGGCTTTGCGTATGGCTGAGAGAGGTGATGGCTGCTGCCATACCCGTGGCACGAGCGTGGAAGCAGGAGACCCCCTGTCAGCTCCCCTTGCAATTGGATTGGTCTGCCTTCCCTCTTGCGGGCAAACATCTTGCTTTCAAGCTGTGGCTAGTAACATTCTGAACTTTCAAACAAGATATGAAAGCTCTTAATGCGTTAATATTCTAAATGTGAATGTTACTCTTACGTTTCCTGCAGTAGAGGATTTAATCTCACATTTCCTGCAGTAGGAGGTTATTTAATATTTTTTCAGCCAGACTTTCATTCTGAGCTGGTAGTAATCCAGACCCTCATGGAATGCTTTGTTTTGGCAGAAAGCAATTCTTTGCTTCTTTTGGGCATGTGGGGTGGAATAATCTTCCCAAACCTTAAATGCTGCATGAGCACAGTTATGTGGGGCTTTTTAAAAAAAATAATTAATAAACCCCACACCCACACAAAACACTTTGAAATTTGTCCTCCAATTAGTCTGTGCAGTGGTGTGAAGTAGAAATCAATCTTGATTTGGCTAGACTGGATCTTCCTAGGGGTGGGGTGAAGTGGAGGCTGCATTCAGGCGGGAGACTGGGAGGACTTAGGGAATACCTGCAGAGGATCAGTGTAGTGTGTGACCATGGCTGTGCACGACAGCAGTGGCTGTGCATCCCCCATTCCTACTGTGACTCTCAGGCATGGGTGCTGCTTTTTTTTTTCTGTGTATCTATCCTTTCAAACGGCTTAATATTTGCAGTGTGTAACTTGCGTAAAACTTTCCGTCTTGGCAAGTAGTTTTGGAATGAAGGGCCCACTGTATGAATCCGTTATGTCCTTCCTCGATGAGGCAGTGCTCCACAGGAGCTTTAGCCTCATCAAGCATGCGGTTTGGTTAAGGGAACAATGTTATTTTACGGCACATAGTTGACTTTTTTCCCCTTTGAAAAGCAAAACTCTGTATCCAAAAGCTGCACTGAAAAATAAGGCTTGAATGTTCCAGCTTGGATCTAGTCCTCTCTATGTACAGTGGAATATGAAATACAGGCTTGTAATGTGAATTCTTCTTAGCATGTGAGTTGTTATAATCTTAATTACATTATCTTGAGCAGTATCCAAATGTCTTTCTGTAGTACACCATATGATGGGTGAACTTGCTGTGCAACCGGTATGCAAGTGTGTCTTTCTATACTTTTGCTTCTGGCCAAATCCAGCTTCTGTTGCTATTTTAGAGTAGATTCTGTCCACACTCAGTGAGTGGAGTTGTGCTGAATTGATATGGATTCTGCTGACAACCAACTGGGTCCACTTTATGCATTTAGCAGTGTTCAGTGATGGAGACCTGAGTCCAGCTGCATCTTTCCAAGCAGTGGACACAGACTGATCAACAGTCTACTCTGTTACAGCAGATACTGTAAGCTGTTACTTGTTGTCAAAAGAAGCAGTCTTGTGTCTCCAGTTCTCTTCTCTAGTGTCCTAGCAGCTGACTAAGTTCTCAGGCATAGCTGCTTCCTGATTTGCTTTACTGTGCAAATGCTTTTCAGTGCAAGGAGTGGAGTAGTGGAAGGGCAGGATTCCTGCCTTAAGGCAGGACAGACCTGCCTTAAATAAGCTCTTTTAGGGAATAAAATTAACTTCAGAACTTCTGCAGTAGTTAATACACAGACTGTACAGTGTCTGTAGTGCGTTTTAACTCAAAGGCAAGCTGTAGTTGTGTTCTTGAGAACTGTCGGTCATCCTACATGTATGTAGGAAGAACTAGAAAAGTAAGGGCTTCTACTTCTCTCACAAGAAACCCTTTATTTGTTACTGTCTAGTAGCAATGTATGAATGGTGGTGTAAGAATTAAAATAGGTTCTTCTTGCCTGTGTAGCACACTTAGTTTTACATGCTGTACTAATGAAGAGTCATTAGAAAATGAATATTAGGTTTCAGCCATTCCCCACGCTGCGCGCCCGCCCCGCTGGCTTTGGTAGCCATGCAGGCTTAAGGAATATCACTCTACTGCCTCTTCACTTTACATGGCTATTTTTAACATGGAATAATTTAGTGTGCTGGTCTACCGTCTGCAAACAGTTGTTGCCATGAGAGTGGGAACAAATGGCTGTGGCCAGTGGTACAAGAACTGCTTTTTGTTGGTGGTCTTTGCAGAGAAAAGTATGTGGAATTGTACCCAGGTTTCTGCTACTGCTAGCTAGCATAATGCCCAAATAAGGAATTTTACTTAAAAGCTTCATTTGTAAAAATGAAACAATCTTGAACCGTTGCTTACAGTGGGGTTCATGCACAGGCTTGTCAACCTTCCTCTGAAACAGCTATCTTTTGTCCCATATGCCAGAAGAATTAAATGTTACTTTGACATGACATTGAGTAATGTGCTTTGTTTTTCTAGTTACTTATACAAGAAATTAATCTTCAGTGCTTTAATAATAACATTATTGTATGTAAAATGAAAGAACTGCTTGATGACCCTTCTTTCCAAAGGAGAACTTTCTATATGTCCCATGTTGAAAAGATGTAAAGGCAATCAGAGAAGGAATACTAATGTTCAAATGTGATCAGCTGCCCTTGTATGTAGCATTAGATTTTGGGCTGGTATTACGTCAGTGAAGCTACATTAGTAAGAGAACCTGCTAGCCTGTAGTCCAGGCAGGACCTCTTTGGTTTGTGGTTTCAGGTTTCTGTTAACTGGAGCTTTTGTGGTGCTGACAGTTTCTCAGTTACTTGAGTTAACGTTACAGAGTGTATTTTTAAGATGTTTGCCTTTCTTACGCATATTCAAATTTGTGGAGGGTAAAATATAAAATAAGAGGAAATCTTTATTTTCAACCACGCTTTTTAAAACAGAAGTGTTAAACCCACCATCATGCTACCTATTGCTGCTAGAGAAATTTTACGTTTGAAGTGAATTGAGCATTTCTGATGTTTTTTTTTTTTCTTTTGAACACTTCCCCTCACCAAAAAAGCTTTTATTTGCTTAGATTAAAGGAGTGAAATGAGACATTTGTAATTAAACTGCTGGTTTCTCTGCAACTTCTTCATCTAGGAGCAATATACAGTTAGGCTTGTCTAAAAGCAATACTTGAAAGCAAATGTAAATCTACTGCATGCTTATATTCAATGAATTTTGTAGTGCAACAAGGAAGCGTGGGCTTAAACATCTTAACCCAATGTGAACAGCAAAGTTAAACCTCTGCTTTGTTTTCAAAGATACTGTTGTTGTGTTTCAGAGTCAAGGTGCAATAACTGAGAAACTGAGAAGTTTCAGTATGCATGATTTGACTAGTATACAAGGAGATGAGCCAGTAGGACAAAGACCGTATCAGACATTACCAGATGCAAAAAAGAAAACCAGAGCCTCTGCAAGTGAATCTTCAGGTAGGTATCTGCCTATTTTTTCCTAGCTAAAAGAACAATTCACCAAAGACAAAAGTGGGAAAGCAGAAATTACATGTACCCCATTTAGAAATGGAAAAGGCCTCAAAGAATGTCAGTGCACTTGATCAGGGTTCGCTTGAGCAAGAAACATTATTACAGTTGAGAAATACTCCCTGAATTATTTTTCTCTCGAAGCCACTAGCAGTGTAGTCATACTGTACTCGTTACTCCTATCTTTTCCAATTAGCAATGAGAATTCCTTGCCGAAGTAAAGCTTAACTGGCAGTCAAAAAATGTGATTAAATGGTGTCTCTGTGACAAATGCACAAAAAGTTAAAAATGAAAATTTATGGAAGCTCAAGAAATGGTAAAAGAATATTAATGGAAATCAATACAGTAGATCTGTAATGATTGTTCAAAATGTAAAATTGCTTGTGGTGATAGGAATAATGAAGGCATTAAGTTGTCATAATGTACTGATGCACATCAATGCTTAAAAGATGGTGTGCGGTGACCGACGTGTTTTTGCAGCGATATTTTATTATTATTATCATTAATATTGTTAATGGCTATTGTTATTCTTATCATCACTTTGCTCTTGAACCTGTGATGCTTGAAGGAGAGTTTCAGTGGAAGGCTGTCAACAGCACCTTTTAAAGTGGACGGTATTTCACACAAAAGAAGTGGCTCTGTCGTATTTCTTGTCTTTTCACCGAGGCCTGTCACGTTGTCTCATCCCTCCATTTTGGGGAGGGGTGGTGCTTTTGGAGTACAAGGAATTCCAGGAATGGCAGGGTAGCTTATGGTGTTTCTGAGGAAGAAATGGCCACCTGACCGGCCCGAAGCTGAACTGCTGATTGAGTCCAGAAGGTATCCTGTGCAGGTCAGTGTAAAGACAGTACTAGCCAGAGAAAAAGCCGGTGAATTCTTCAAGAGGAGCATTAGGGATGATGTCCTTGCAGCTTGCAGCCCCTTGCAGGGGCTATTCCTTAGTAAGACAGTATTAGTTATCTACCTGAAATAGCTTCAAAATGCTCTAAAGCCCATTTAAAAAAAAAAAAATTACTTGGGTACAGTTTATACTGTGGTTAAAAACAAACAAACAAAAAACAAAACAAACAAAAACCCAACCCACTGATTATGAAATTCAGTCTCACATGTCAAAATGCTTTCTTAGAGCTAGTTTAACTTGTTTCTACTCCTGGACCCAAATCTAGTGTATGCCTCTTCTGTTTCCATTGAATTTTCTTCAGCATTAGAGATTTAAAAAAAGAACAAACCACAGACAGAGTTAGGAACACTATGTAGCCCTATTTCATTGCACTTAGCAGAACTTCATTTGTTGTGATCTGAGCTGGGAGTTCCTGTGCAAATTAGTTGAAAGACCTAGTTGTAGAAGGTTATTGATCATAGGATGACTGAGCTGCCAGTATGCTTGCTGTGAAAAAGGCAAATGTGATTTTAATGCATCAGAAGAGGTGTTACAAATAGAGATAAGGAAGCATTAGTGTCACTGCAAGCATCCCTAGTCAGAAGCTGAGTAACAGATGTAATTCCAATCTTCCGTATTGAAAAAGATGAATTGAAACTATATTGGAGGCAGAGATGTGTTGGCTCTAGAATGGCAGAAGAGGTAAGTCTGCATTACATAGCTGTGGAGTCGGTGAGTGTCATTCTAATTTCAGGAAAAAAATGAAATGACCAAAGGAAAAGAATCTGAGCCTAACTAAAATATTGGCTTAAGATGAAATGTACATTGATCACGAATACAGTTGGGTTTGGAGTATAAAAGGTGTCCCTCAGTGTTACAGCTTGTAGGTTCTGGAATGGCCTTATAAAAGGAGAGCTTTGTGGGGTGAAAGAACCAGACTAATTAAATTCGGGGGCTTTGATGTGTCTATGATGGGGAGTCAGGGCTTTTGGACCCCAAGGATCTCTGCAGCGTGTGTTTTTAAGCAGTTTCTGCCCTCTAGTGAGAATCTTTGGTAATAATTTGGTCCTATTTTTGCTGGATGTAAGCAACTCTTAATAGTACTTTGTTATATCTATCTGAAAGGAACCTTGGTATTAAATATGCAGAGGTGTGTGCAAGTATGCAGAAAGATCTTATGAATCATCGAATGATTTGGGTTGGAAGGGACCTTTAAAGATCATCTAGTCTAACCTGTCTCCCAGGGGGTTTGTGGCCAAAAACCTTACGTACTTCTCAAGATGACCACTGAGGTTTTTGCAGTTCAGTGAAGCTGAAGATGGTAGCAGACTGATGGTTTGATTTTTGACAATTGAGGAACCACTGCATTACATACCTATGGAACGAAGTGGCTTGTTACTTACAAATGGCAGACTTGTGAGTAACAAGCTCCTGGCAGACTAGATGTTTCGCACTTCTGAAACAGCTGGCGGACTGGCCATATCCTTTAAAAGAATAAACTATGTGTGTTAAAGTTGAAACTAATGGCTTTCTTGGAGATCGAGAAGTTACAGCTATTTCTTACTAAACAGCTTAATAAAACTTTTTTAAAGGTTACAAAACTCCACTGGAAAAAAATCCTGGAGATGATAAAACAGATGAAGAGATGGAGGGGACGCATTCAGAGGATGAAATGTTTGCTCAGAGAGGCCTTCGAAGAACTCAGAGTATGAAATCTGTGAAAACTATTAAAGGCCGTAAAGAGGCAAGTATAATCTTAGTTAAGTATCGAGTTTGTTGTTAACAGTGTACCTTGGTGTTTTTAATAATGCAGAAATTGTTTTTCTTAATCTTAGAGGGCTTATCAATAACAACTGCATTGTAGAATGCTAAATGGAGAAGTATGTGATAACAATATGCTTGGAGCTTTTGTACTTCAGGATGGTTAAGGGAAATACAGGAAAAAAAATTAACAAAGCAAGGACAAAAGGGAGAGGAGATGACATAGATTCTGTGCTTCTGATGTTAATTCTGGCACCACCAAGCCCAGATTCCAGGAACTTCTTGCCTTGAAAGGGGTGCCGATAGCGGGATTGTCATTTGCATTTGTGTGTCTTGGTTGCGCAAACTTGAACATCTGCTGTTTAATGGATTAAAGAAGACTCAGAATTTTTTAGTTCCCATAGACATACGGCCTGCTTTGACTTGTAACCCACAAAGAGAAGATTCTATGTAGGATTCCAAGTGCTTTATATTTGCACTTGTTGCAGTATTTAAACATACTTCAGGGTAAATCTCTCTGGAATCTCATAAAAGTTTTTGGGTAATTCTGGGAAAACACTTGAGACTTACCCTTCTTGCCCAATTCTGTTGAAACTTTATGTTCAGTCATGTGTAGATTTTCCTACTGAAACTGTGGAGTGTCCAAAGCACATTTAAAGATGCTTACTAGTTTGTATTAGTGGAAAGGTAAATAATATTTCTGCCTGAAGTGATCTTGCTTCTTTCAGTTATAATTTTTTTTCCTCCTCAGATACGGTATGGATCACTGAAATACAGAGTAAAGAAGAGACCCGCTGTATACTTCTAAGTGTGTTGCACAATGCCTGCGAGACAAACTGCTGTATTATAATAACTTGAACTCAGTGCGTTAAGTGTTAATATCTGTGTATGATTCATATAGTGAGTATATATGAATAGATATGGTAGGACTTGGTTTTATGAACCTAAATGGTTGGAAAAAGTATTACTCTGCTCTTGTGTAATTGCTTATTGTTTAGATTTAAATGTGGACAAGTTATAGAATGAATTTCACCACTCCTTAAATGGGAGTTAAATGAGTAACAGGAAACAGCCTTTTTCCAGAGGTACTGAACAGACCGAAATAATTACAACTCTAATTGAATTAGCAGATGTTGTAAGTATTTGGAACTTGTGAAAATTTAACCCATAGTGTCCCCAAGTTTACATGGAAAGATAGGTATACTTGAAATATTTTTCCGAGCTACAATTCCTGAAAAGGCCTTTGTGTAACTTAAAAATGCACAGTTTAAAGGACAGTGGATGAGGATGGGGAAGGAAAAGGAAAGACAAGGTAGGTATGGTACATCCTTAAGATCATCTTGCATCATATTGCCAAGCTTAACAAACTTATATAATACTAATAGGTGCAAACTGGGGGTACATTTAGCACTTTATGCAAAACTGTGTATAGTTTTGCACATTCTTACTGATTTACAGCTGCACATGTCATTTTAGTGACTTCTTAGGTAGGTTAGACTTATCTTTTGAATGCCAGCAATTCTTGTATTTCATGATTGTTTTTTAATTTATCATGATTGCTCAAGTACACTTAGGATGCTGTAGATAATTGCTACTAACACTTAACAACATTATCAGGTGCCTTTCTATTACATGGCTGTGTGGCTTTTTTGTCTGTGTGTGGGTTTGTTGTTGTTGTTTTGTGTCTGTCTTCCTCCTTCACCTAGAGAGATGCAACATGATTTAAGTCAGTTTTGGTTAAAATTGTGGTAAGTAAAACTCGTAGCAATTCCACTGATAGACCTCAGGGATCTGATCAGCCCATCAGCTGTATATTACAGTCATGCTGACGTGAAGGCATGTGTGATAGATTATTCAGGCCCTGGTTTGGTTTTGCTCTGCAGTGCTTTAAGAATGAAAATATATATATATATATGTATAAAAATAACATGTATTGTGTGTATATGTCATATCATAGGTGGATTCTAAAACTGGTTGGATAGTACTTTTATTGCTATTGTCGTTACTAAAATATTTACATACAAATAGCTTTTTCTAAAAGTCTAGCTGATTGAGTCATCAATTTTATAACTTAGAGTCCCATTGCATAACTGCTTGCACAGAGATCAATTTTGGAATGTCATTCAAGGCAGGGACTTGTCAAAATGACTTTTTGAGGTCCTCTTTGGTTCTATTTTCTGCAATTCTGAGAATTAGGCTGATTTTAGTTTTCTGTGTGACTATATTTCTACTGTGGATTCAGGGAGAAAACACCCACTTTTTGTAGATCGTATTTTGTTACTTGGCATGGGGCGAGATGTTGCTACTTTTCTTGAAGAGAAAATGGCATGTGATCCCGCTTATCCTTGGATCTCAGATGCCAATCCTTAGACCTCCCCCAGGTATGAGAGCCATCTGCAGTCTACTGCAGCGCTTTTGAACATATTCTTAAGGCTTGGGCCTGCTGCAGTTCTTTTTCTTTATATTACAGCTATAGCGGGTTCACTGCTGTTAGGCACTTGATGGCCTTTTAAGATATACTGGCATTTGAAATAGTCTTCTGTAGACTTTGGGCCCAGATTTGAATTGTATGGATAAAAATGCAGCTGGCCTGTATTGCCTTTGTGTTCCTCACTTACTATTGTAGGCATTTGTAAGCCAAGTGCAAGGCCTTGGTCAAATAGGACAATACTGGTGGCGCAGTGCTTTTAGCATCTCTGAGGAAGTTACATGCTTCAGTAAGAAGTTGCAACAGTCTGTACGTGATTAAAAGGCCAAAGCTTGTATTTACTTTAGTTGAAGACACAGTTTTGTACCAGAAGACAGGAAGGCTGCTCTCTCCCAGATGAGTATATGAGTGCAAAAATCCCATCCTCTAACCAAAACTGCAACTTGTGAGCTAGCTTTTATAAGGAGCTGTTGTCTGTGGAGAGGGCAGTGATCAGAAAGGGAGCCTCCCCCAGGTGTGGTTCATCACTTGTGCCCCAGGAATGTTTGTGCTTCTCATCTGACTCCCTGAATGCAGGGAAAGGCTGTCTGTGTGTTAAGATATGTAAGATGTTAGAGGAAACTGAGGCTTCTGTATCTGCATCTCACCCCTCTTTGCAAATTAGACTAACCTGGGCCTTGGGTGGAATCTCTAACTCTTACTCTTCAGTTGAGCGTCCTCCTGACTTGCTGCCACATTTTGCTTTAACTTACCACGTTTGTTTTATCGGCAAGCATGGCAATAAAACTTGTCGTCTTCCTACAAATCAGAATCCTGTATGAAGGAGCAGGGCAAGCCCTTCTTTCAGAAGCACGTTTCCTCTTACAGGTTCAGGTAGATCCTGTTTCGGGGGTTGTGTTCTTTTCATATTTCTAGGGGTAGGCGTCATTTGAGTAGATTAGGCTCTACCAGTGCGTGGTCAGTAAGTTGCTCTACGTGTTGTTACGTACTTGAGGTTGTAACTTCTGGCAGACTTAACTTGCTGATTAAGTAGTGAGAAAGGCTAAATAAACTCTCCTTTTTCTGAACTATGCATGGAACTAGGAATGCTGGCAGTATTATTCATATTCCTTACTGTTTGCATATAAGCCTACTTGTGTTCTCTCAGATACTGTCTTAAGTGATAAAACTTCCAGTGTTTGCCTGGCTGGCTTTTTCAGTCTAATATCCTGCTGTAAAATTATTTTCTTGACAGCTTGATTTTGCTCTTTGAATTTTTCCAGAAAGTGGTTCACTGTATTAACATGATCCCCCCTTGATGGATCATTGTCAGCCAATGCTTGGCAGGGCACGGTGGCATGATTAGCTTTCATCCCAATTATATGTATTTTTCTCTGCTTGCTGAATTTAGTTTAGTTTGGTTTTGAAATATTACACAATTTTTTTAAACCTTGTACAGGGAATTGTCAAAATGTTTTGCCTTAGCAACTGCAAAAGTGATCTGTCTAGCTCTTGCCAGTAAACTTTTTGGAAAAATGTTAAAAATGAAAATTTAACATTATTTTTGGTTTTGGAATGTAAAATGTAGTTCATGTCAAATTATATAACCTTATGAACAAAGCATTTCCTGAGAATTGACGGACTGCCACCAACAGAACTGCTAATATAGTTAAAGTACCTTTAACCTTTGTGTAAGTTTAAAAAAGAATATGTATTTCTTTTCAAAACATATAAAGGTTTCAAGCCTCTCCAAAATATATCAGAACTGACTCAGATTCCTCAGCAAGAGCCTGCTGTATATGCTAAAATACATAGTTTGAGATGAGGATTAAACTGGTGGCCTCGGTTGCAAATGATTTTAGGCCAGACTCTGAGGTAACTGCCAATATTAGCTACTTAATGCTAATTGCTTTGCTATGTGGAAGTAAGGGAATATTATCCAAGATACTTTTTGCAAACTATAATGAATTTTAAAATCAACAGAAGATAATTTGGTTAAACAATGGTAGAGTAAATGCTAGATGCATTTAAAGCACTGTTCATGACAAAAAACTTGTTTTGTTTTTGGTGTTGCTTTTATTAATGGGAAGTTGGTATTTTAAAATATTTTTCTACAAAAATGTGTATGTACAAAGGTAATACATTAACATTTTTCAAGAACTTGTATTTTTAAATGCTACAGACCAGAGACTGTCTACATTGAGACTGTAGTAGCTTTAAAAAATGCAATGTAAGCTTTAATTTTTATATTGTAATAATAACTTGCTGTCAACTTGTTTACATATTTGTAGGAGGGAAAGCTTCATTACACATTGACTTATCTTGATACTCTCTTTAATAAATGCTGCTTTGAGCAGGATGCAGTGGCTATTGTATTACCTGAATTATGATTAACAAACCAGTCCCTCCATAATCTGTATTCGATGATTTATTATAATGATTCCTGTACAACAACCTATCTGAATTTTGAAGAGACTTCCAAAACTGTTTGAAGTATGACTAAACTGTCATTGAAGTTTTGCCATGGAGCCTGATGCTGATTTAGGCTTAAATGGAACTTACCCTGCCAAAAGGCAACTTGAACACGCTATAGTGTTACCTATTTTGGTTAGATGCTCAGCTTGGAGTAAAGTCAAAATAAGATGTGTAATCTCCTAAAGAAGTATGACTTCTGGGGAACTATTGGATTTTTTTTTTTATGAAACCTCTAATGCTAGCCTCTTTTATTGATGCAGCTGTACTGTTGTTTGTGCCAACAAACAGATTTTGTTTGGTACTTTTTAGTTAAACAGTGTTCTGGTAAACCAGAGAAGGAGATGCATAGGTAACCTTGGGCCTTTCCTTTTTCCAGCCTCACTTCAAGTAAGCTACTAACATCCCTAGCAAAACCCAAGAAAAAACCTTAGTAACCTGGTTTTCTGGACCTTTTTTGCAAGGGTTCCTGACTTACTGCCTTAAAGAATTTTTTTATATGGCTAATTCAGGAGACTTAAAAACTATTATTTATTGCTACTGTATCCTAAGCATTTTGAAAATACATCCCATACAGACTGACTGTAGAGGACCTTGCAGTGATTAGGTTCCTAATGTCTGAACAGTTCATACTGTACAAATGCTGTAGCTACTGAAGAAATTGTGGTTGTCAGACAACAACACTGACTTCCCCCCCCCTTTATTTCTATAGTTAATGTTTAGCAGGTAGCAGGACCATTTGTGAATGTGGGCTAAAAGCTGTCTTCCTTCTGTTTAACGCGATTCTGGTGAGACCTGCTCAGGCAATGGTTATCTGGTGATTCTAAAATAGTGCTGGTATGTTTGTCCTAGGCTAAAATGTTGAAGATTTAAGCAGATCAGCAATGGTGGCAGTTTTTGGGGGGCTTTTTTTTTCTTAAAGACACCTTAAGTGTTGTTTATTTTCCACACTGAGGTGGGAAAACAGATGATCGAGCATGAGGGAGAAACCTAATAAGCCTTGTAAAATCAAGAGACTTCCAAAAATTATTTTTGTGCTTTCTGTAGATGTATTCAGGAACAAAAAGGGAGCCTGTCTTGTTTTATATCTGCCTGCCTTTGCCAAGGTTCAGCAACAGATTACTCTGTTTGAATTAGGGTAGGAATCATGAAAGCAGCTGGAGCAGAGACTATAATGACTTCAAAT